GTTTTGATTTGAATTATGCGAATTTCTTTTTCCACTCAGACTTCGGATAATCTCAATAGAATTCGTTTATTTAGCGTTTCATACTCCCAACAAGTTTATCATGATTAAGCGAATAAAAACCTTGAAAAAATAAACAATGCTAGTGAACTAACTGGAGTGGAAATGTTTAATAAATCGTTTAATGAATAAAACCAAAATCTTGTTGAATTCTAAATTAATAAAAACAAAAAAATACGTTATAAGAAAAAATAATCACTTATAGAAGGCTTCAAACACCTTCATTTTTTTCTTTTTACATATTAAGGATTTGAATATATGTTGCATCAGATAGAATACCCAGTAAAAGGCTTACCATAATATCGCCAGATAGAATACCCAGCAAAAGACTTACCATAATATCGCCAGATAGAATACCCAGTAAAAGACTTACCATATTATCGCCAGATAGAATACCCAGTAAAAGACTTACCATAATATCGCCAGATAGAATACCCAGCAAAAGACTTACCATAATATCGCCAGATAGAATACCCAGTAAAAGACTTACCATATTATCGCCAGATAGAATACCCAGTAAAAGACTTACCATATTATCGCCAGATAGAAACCGAAAAGGCTTAGATAGCTCAATGACTCGAAAACACAAAGTTACATTATTAAACATTTCTAACAGCTGTTCGTGGACAAAATATTATAAATACCAAAGAGTATATAAATAGTGGTATAATACGATTAACAATACCATGATGATGTGTTTTTTTTAAATATTTACTCACTTTTGTGACCTCTCCTGTTGTCTAATAAGAAATAAAGTAAATTAGACCCTCAGCTTCTATTTTTTGAAAACAAAACTATGTTCAGTGATAACGTCTTTCAACTTGAGTCTGCATTGTTTGAATACAATGTTGTTTTTAACGGTTCGTGGAAAATTGGGTTTGCTTCGTGTGAGCTTATTTCAAGTTTAGATGGGTGTATATTGCCCACACACATATTTCTGCAATTTTAAAATGAAATTCAAATAATTTTATTTGAAAAAAAAAATGTGGATGCCTTCTATACGTTTGTTTGTAGTTAAGCCTAAAGTTACATAATGGGCTATCTTTGTTGTGCCCATCACAGGTAATGAAACCCGGTTTTTATCGTTATGCTTCTATATGAAGTAGAAAATTACATGTACTACCAAAATCAAACTTTCGATGAGAATAATATGACTGTCATTACAAATATGTATTTTTGAGGAAACGGATCACGAACCAGGAATCCGTGAATTCTAGGATTCACAGTCCGAGCACGCTTTATTCTGGGCCATGCCCGGCCCAGTTTCCTCAAAACTACCCTGTACATGTGTCATTATGGCGTTATTAATGGGATTTATGATAAAACTTTCTATGGCATTATTTACTTAAAACTCCCTCTTAGTTGGATTTGGTGTTAACCCAAGTTATTCACATAAAAGAAATATTTCTAATCGTCAATTAACATCTAAATAAATATTATTAAACTAAAAGTTATAAAATACTGTTTCGGATATTCGTGCAAAGATACACAAGCCTGTTTGTGCCAACCGTCCATATTTCGAAACGATAGACTATAAGGAAAGCAGCTATTCAACGCACCCACCGCCAATTGTTTGGCTACCCTAATCGATTAGTAGGAATTGACCATTGCTCTTACAACACACTCACGACCTCAAAGTACGGAGCGCGCTTTTGTGGCAACAGAAAAAGAATGGGCACTCGGATTTACAGTCCAGACATGTTAGTCTCCATTCTATTTAGACCGATGCAAAAAAATTTCATGGACTTTCTGTTTTATTCGAACAGATTTGGAGTACTTTATACTATTTTTTTTAATTCACAAATAATTTAGAGTATGTTAGAAAACTATTGCAGTGGAAATAAATGAAGAGAATGTTTAATAAAATGTAAGTAATAATGTTATTTAAAACGCTATCCTTTAACATTCGATTTTTCATTATCTAGCTGTAATTCGGATATTCTGTTGTACACTTATTTTTAATTAGTGACCCAGATCATCGTTTCCATATCTGTTTGATGGAGTTGTAGTTTTTCATCCTCAAAGATACCTCGTGCGCACTTGAGTCTACTTTTGAACTACTGACCATAGACTGGAGACTTAATGAAGATTATGTATGTAAAGTTCTGAAATTCGAAGATTTAACATAAACAGTAAGAAAAAACATACTGACAAACCATAAAGATCTAAAAATATGTCCTGTTAGTATGTCCTCTAGCAGGAGAAAAGAAACGGTGTTACCCCGAATGTTTTCTTCCCCACTCTTCTTGCCTCCAGCTTTCTGAAGAGAAAGACTGACATAAGCCTCTTGAATTCAGTAAACATACGTGAGCGTCAAACACCACGAAATATACAGTAAGAAGAACATAACAGCAACTTGAGACGCGATCGCCCCCTCTCGGTGGCAAAGTTCCGAATACAACTTTTGACCCCCTCCTGTACCACATATGGATTTTATGATGCTACTGAGTGCCTGTAAATGTTGCACAACCCAGTATTGTGCATATATCAACAGATGGTAAACAATACTGAAACGTGTAGCAACAGTTGGATTACGATATTGTTTTGTGCATATATCAACAGATGGTAAACAATACTGAAACGTGTAGCAACAGTCGGATTACGATATTGTTTTGTGCATATATCAACATATGGTAAACAATACTGAAACGTGTAGCAACAGTCGGATTACGATGTTGTTTTGTGCATATATCAACAGATGGTAAACAATACTGAAACGAGTAACAACAGTCGGATTACAATATTTTTATTATAATTTTAAAATATATCAACAGGATTGCATTACTTTAGTAATTGAACTCGGAACCCTTTCACCCACAGACTCATATGCTAACCACTAGGCCACGCCTAAAGCTATTCGTTTGAACTTCGATAATACAAATGTTCAAGTTATACGACGTTCTTTTGATCTAAGTGTAGATATATATATATATATATGGTTTATGTACCTTACATTCTACTAGATTAAGAATTCTAATCCAACTTAAATAAACTTTTTATTTCTTTGAAGGAGCTTGTAAGCCAATGAAAATAGTCCTGTATAAGAAACTACGTAAAAATGTGTAGTGCTAAAAAGCCAACAGACGAGTAAACTAAAACTTATACTGATTAGAATTCATAGATTCAGTAACTGGATATTTATCGGATAAAGAAAGTAGCAGGCCAGGCCTGGTAGTTAAAGCGTTCTACTCACAATGTGCTGGTCGCGAGTTCGAATCTCGTTATCAAACATGCTCCCCCTTTCGGCCGTGAGGGCGTTATAATATGACGCTCAATCCCACTATTCGTTGGTAAAAGAGTAGCTTCTCCCTAGTTTATCACTTATAAATTAGAGACGCCAAGCACAGATAGCCCTCGAGTAGCTTTGCGTGAAATTCAATAGAAGCCAACAAAAGAAAGAAACTGACGTGAATTATCGAGTGTAAAAACGCCGTTCGTATAGCGAAACGGTTTGTTTGTAATTAAACACGAAGCTACACAATGGGTTATCTGTGCTCTACCCACCACGGGTATCGAAACCCGGATTTTAGCGTTGTAAGTCCGCAGACATACCGCTGTGCCACTGAGGGGCTAGCGAAACGGTAGGTGGATGCTAACCAGTTTCAGATAAATCACACTTCATTCTAGCTTATCTACTATCGTGAGTTAGCCAGTTTGTTTAATACAAGTATAATTAACTTACGGATGAACAGTGAAACATGTTCAATATACTTGTACCTTAAATATTATGCGTGATCATGTCTCATTGTTAGAGACGAAACGTTGTACAGAAATAAATTTACTATCCAACAATAGCTGTCTCAAAACTTCATATTTTTCACAAGTGGCTACCTCTTAAAAAGCAAATAGTACAATTTACTTACTTCATCTAGTTCACACCAGAACAGTTTGTTGTTCATGGCCGCTACTATGTCTGTCGTATCCCAGCCGGCATGATGAGCCCTGGTATTGAACGAAAAGCGTCGTTGGCGCTGGATACGCAGATGTTAACATACTATAGCACATTACTTACTGTTTTGACTCAAAGATTCGTAGACTTATGTGAACATGCACAAACGTGTGTGTGTTACTATAAACACAATTCTGCATTAGTAGTTTGTTTAAGAGGCTTCAAAGTTTTAAATCAATACTTAAACAGTTACAAACTTGTGAAGCCTCGAATGATATAAGATCAGAGAGGAAATTCGGGGATGAACGTAGCTAAAACCAGCTACGTGACAACAATTTTTCAACTATTACTTAACAATATATCTAACCATTCACATTCAATCACCGTTTAAAAAACGTGGAAATATTTTATATTGTTGTTAACACTTATTTAAATCAAAAGTGTTAAGCGTTAATTTGAAACACTGTTGCGATCAACATCTACTTTTACTGTTAGTCGTATTTCTTGTGTGTACCAAAATAACTTTTCATGTATGGGAAATAAATTTGGAGTATTTTTAAATTTTTTTTTTTGTGTGTTTCTTAGCAGCCTGGTCTCTACTTACTTCCTGGTATGGCATCGAGAGGCTTTTTTGATACTAAATCCCTTCAAGGTACAAAGATGTACTTAGAAAATAAATCGCTGGAAACGAATATCGCTATAGAATAATTTGTAAATTAAAAATACAATGCGATTACAAAAATATTTTATTTCCTAAAAATAAAAATATCTTCTTTTTTTAGCAGGTTCGCATTTTATAAACCAGACCGGTGTTACAGGAGCTTAGCATAGTCTTAAAACCATTATAGCCAATTTCTTTAAGTCATGCTCAGGGTAAGAAACCACACAAAATATTCAAGGACAAACCTTAGTCATAATAGATGTATAAATCATCAGTAAACAGTAAATTCAATAATACTAAAAAAAAACTTGTGCGTTTTCTTTGTTGTTTTGTATAATTGATAGAGAAGATCGTTCCAGAGTTTCACAAGTCTGATAGTAAATTCTGACTAACCTGAATATTCTTGTATTCGTCTTTCAGAATCGGGTCATATTTGACGGACTTCCAGAATTCGGGAAAAACTGCTTCACTTTTGGTGACAAATATGCATGTTAGGGTTAATGAGAGGAATATTAAGGTTGCTTCTTTGCCTGTCATTTTATTTTTATTTTCAGTTGCGATTACGGAAAAAAAAAAGAATGAAAATCTGTGATAAATGATTTAGAAATTATAATCAACAGATACAGCTTCGGGGCGACTAAAGATTCCTCTCTACGAGATTTTTCGGGATAACTTTCGCTGTGGAAAATGCAACAGGCCTGCGTTGAGTGACCAAACAAGACAAGAAGGTGGGTTTTATACAGTCTCACTCCCCCTCAAATAGACGTTGCGCCTGAGCGTTTCGTGTCTATGGTAATGTTTTAAGCTTTATTGGCGATAGCTAGCGATAAAAAAAAATAAAACTGGGAGCAATATAAAGGAAAAACTGTGGGTGTATGCTACTTACCTGCAAAATAGTCTAACCAATCTGTGAGCTCGGAGATGTTTGATTGACTTAGACTGGGAGGAGCTTGGCACGACAAGCCTACAGTAGCACGAATGGATTCTTCTCTTTCGTGATTAACTTTTTTTTCTAGTTTTTTTTTTTCATGTAATTATTTCTTTAGTAATTCATATATGGATTATCTACTAATTGAGTTTGACTTTATGCTAACTATGAAACTCATATATCTTCTTTGACGTTTATTTGTTTGTTTTAGAGCAAAGCCACATTGGATGATCTGCTTTGTTCGCTTCAGGGGAATCGAACCCAAAATGTAACCTTTTGACTCAGTAAACACCGGCGGACATGTTGATAAATACATCACGTCTGATACAACCATTTTCATGAAAATAAAATCCTCGGTGGGACAGTGGTAAGTTTACGGACTTCAACGCTAAAATCTGAGGCTCGATTCTCCGGGGTTGACGGAGCGCGAATAGCGTATTGTGTGGCTTTTGCACTGAAACAAACAAGCAGAATCGAACAACCAATAATAACAAGTCTTCGGATAGCACAAGTGTGTGTATGAATGAACTGCAGTTATTTTGTTAAAATATAAAACAAAAATACAACATGGCTGAGCTAATTTCTAACTATGACGTGTCGATTATTTGAGCAGAAAAATTATTCAAATACATTCAATTAAACTTCCTAATAAAACTCTATGTATTTATATTTTGTACTTGTAGTAAATCTTGTATTTTGCATTTTATGGCAGAGCTACTAAGGCTATCTGCAGCCTTCCATAAGTTTGTACTTCTTATCAGAGGGAAGGCAGCCAGTCAACAGCACCCTGTGCCATCCATCTACCATTAACATTAAGGGATTGACTGTCACTCTTATAACGCACCAACAGCTTATAGTATATTTCTGTGGTATCGCACGGATTTGAAACCACTTCTTCGGCTCTGAAATCCAGAGTTTCGCGACGATGCCATTACACCTTTCCCCTTTTCTAAAATCAATCTTTTGGCATGAGCCATAATAAGTTATGCCTTTTACTAATGAAATGATAGTAGTATAATTACCAAAATAGAGCCTTAATATTAGAGCCATGTGTTTCTACTTTTAGAAGTAAGACAAGCGAAATCAGAACCAGAAATTTACTTGTAGCGTTAAGAAATCACCTTAAACCAAAATAATATATCTAACACCAACTTAGAGATACCAGAACCAAATATTTGGTCGTAACTTTAAAAAATAAGCTGTAAAACCAGTACTAGATATTTTCTCTTTACGTCAAAATATCAGCTTAAACCGAAACCAAGTATTTACACTTAGATTTGAAAAACAAAACAAAAACTAATATTATAACATTTGATCACATCTCAAGTTAATAAAACTCGATTTTAATAATCACCTGTATTTGGTGTAAAGATGTAAAATTAGCAAGTATGTCTTTAAAGTATCGTACTTGTTCGTCGCTAAGTGGTAAACTCATCAAGGCCAGAGGGAACGGAAGTGTGAATTACCAGCAGAACGTGACAGTGGGACCTTCGATGTAGAAACATTCCGGTCTTGATTAGAAAATGGTTCATCATTTTGATGACAAGTGCTATCAGTATCTGAGTATGGGTTAGGTTTAGCAAAGTATAATGAAACTATAGAAGTTCAATAAGCAGCACATTCGGGAGATTCCATTATTCTATGTACGAGTAATTTGATATTTCCTAACTTTGGTCGTTGTTTAATTTTTTTTTTTACTCTCTCTGGGAAATACGAAAGAGTCCCCTTGTCTTTCAATAATTATAAAATGATTGTACAACTTGATACGGTCAATCCTATAACAACATTTTGAAAATTTTGTATTCTTTTCCAATTGACTCTTAATTTAACTTGAAATGTAATACGCAATAAAAAAAATGGATACAATAAGTACGCTTCGAAGCCCAAAAGTTTACGAAACTTATTAGTAATTATTGTATATAAAAGTTACAAACCGTTTTGAATTACATGAAAATAGTTTAAAAGAATTCTACGTTTCGGTAATTGTTACATATAATGTTTCCGCGTCATTGTTGTTTAGCTCAGCTTCGCCGGGCTTTAGTTTTGGATTGCATTTTGCTACGTTCAGTTGTGCCATTAAAAAAGCAGAAAAAGACGTCAAAAACATCAAAAAAATTAATGGCTTACTGGTATTTTTATAATTATTATTTTTTCTTCTTATATAAACTTCTCCATACCAAAAACGAGCTTCTAATTAATACAACATAAAAGTAATTAACAAAATAATCCAAAAATAAAGTTTTTATCATTCTTCTAACGAGTGTGAAAAAATATTACATTTTTTAAAGAACGAAACGTAGTCATTTTGGCAAATTAAAAATGTACTGTCCTTAATTCATATACAATACACAAAAGTAGTTATAAAAGATCAATATTTTATTGAAGTAACACCGTTAGGTGGAGCTTTTTTATTACGTACCGTGAATGCTCATAAGATTGTTTGTTTGTTATCGACCGCACAGCCACACAATGGCTCTGTCCATCGTCGTAAGCCTTCAGATTTACCGCTGAGCAACCGGGGCGAGGGCTGACGATTGTTTTTGTATTAATTTGTACACTGAAGTTTGAAACATGTTTTTCCTGGATGGGAATCACTTAGAATTTTTTTTTTTTAAAACAATGTAACGATTATTAGGCGTTTATAGTAGAATACATTTATCAAGTATTTAATGTGATATAGTCTACATGCTATATAATACAATGTTCTTGGGTTATTACATAACAACTGTAATTAGACAATAATCGATTATAATAGTAGGTTGTCAAAGTAGTCTTTGCCCGGACGAATCCGAAAATAATTGATATCAACTTTTGAGAAAAACTATGGAAATAAGTGAATAAATATTGGTAATAGAAACATTATTTGAATTCGATGAAGAAGTAGCTCAAGACCATGATGCTTGCTGGCAATTTTAAATACGGTTTTGATGAATTTTTCATTGTACTGAAATTTACATTAAACTATTTTTCTATTTGAAATATTTTCTTGTCTTATTTCATTATCTCTCATTTCACGCTATAACGAAGAAACAATATTTTCCATTATATGGGTGTAAGTTTTTGTTTGGTATTAAGCACAAAGCTGCACGATGCTATCTGTGCTGTGCCCACTACGGGTATCGAAACCCGGTTTTTAGCGTTATAAGTAACCCTTCAGAATTACCGCTGAGCCACTGGGGGTGGGGTGGCACAGTTGAATGTAAATAAATTTGTTTTATGTTTTTAATAGAAAGAACAAAGAGACCCCCCCAGTGGCACAGCGGTATGTCTATAGACTTATACCGCTAGAAACCAGGTTTCGATACCCGTTGTGGGTAGAACACAGATAGCCCTTTGTGTAGCTTTGTGCTAAATAACAGACAAGTACAAAGAACTGTTATAATAAGACCAATATTTTAAGACTTTCGTGTTCATATTTTTATATTAGTGTGGATCATTAAATATAGATATGTAAAATTCTCTCTATTTTTCATTTCTTACCAAACATTAATCTACTGAGACGTTCTTGTTTAAAGTAAACGAGTATAAAAAAAAAAGACAATTTAATTTTCAACAGCTTAAGGCTACCACTATTGTTTTCAATGCGTGACGTGAGTTTAAACAGAATTTCTCAATCCAAGGACCAAAGAGACAACTTTTACTTGCTTATGCAATACACTCGTTACAAATAACTTACCGAATTCACACGGAGCTCAACATGAAGTAAAATTAAAAATTCACCTTCCAGTACTTTTTGAACAAAAGTTCAATTAAACATTGTTTTAAATATTAGAAAGAGCTATATTTTTTATATTCACGCTAGTTTTGATCGGTTGTACATAGTAAAACTTTTGTTATTTTTTTTCACAACGTTGTGATTAAAATAAACAAAATTGTATATTGTTTCGTTCTTTCAATCTCTGATAAAAGTAAAACAAAACAAAATTGTTCTTCGTTCTTTGAGCAAAAGCAAAATTAAAAATTGTTTTGTTCTTTCGTTCTTTGAACAAAAGTAAAATTAAACATTGTGCTATTCTTTCGTTCTTTAGAATCGAGTAGCATAAAAGAGCTGTGGCGTTCAAAGCCCCCCCCCCCCTCTCACGATTCGCAGAGGCCGATTTATACCGATCAAGCTATTCCATTATCCCCTGTTACTTGCATAGCTACCCCACGGAGAATCTTTACCCGAAAACAAAGTCAATTA